TACATGCCCTAGATTGGAATCGAACCTGGGACCTTTCAGTCCACAGGCCGATGCTCTATCCACTGAGCCAAACCGGTTACGGCAAATATCACATCTTTGTAAACAACTTCATTTGGCAGGAAAAATGAAAAGAAATTTGGAGGACAGGAGACAGCTGTGGTGGAAATTAAGGCATTTAAGGCTAGGTGATGTTAATAAAGAATTTCAGTCTTAAGTTAGGAGGAAGAAAAATGTAGATTCATATTCAATTACATACTGTTGAAACAGAATGTTTGCAAATGCTTGCTGATCTGTGTTAGGGTTTTCCTTACAGAATGTGTTTTATTTTATTTATAAGAACCTCTGAGGTAGGTCCTGTTATCCCCAACAAGAGAAGTGATTGGACTGAGGGAGGTCACATGTGTTGAAAACTATGATCTGAAGCGTGGTCTTTTGTTATTTAATCCCAATATTTTAATGCATAAACATGTTTGTACTGTTAATAACTCTAATAAAATTTAGTTATTTAAAACTATTTCATCCTCAGTTCAACCTGATTATATTCCATTTTATACATGTTTTAAAACACACAGAGAATATTGGCAAAAATGTATGAGATTCATATATCATAAGTATACATATAATGAGGATGCATTTTTAATAGATGAGGGAGCAGGTCAAAAAGTTTGAAAATATAGCCCTGGCCAGTTTAGCTCAGTGGGTAAAGTGTCGGCCTGTGGACTGAAGGGTCCCGGGTTTGATTCCTGTCAAAAACACATACCTCAGTTGCAGACTCGATCCAGATTGGAGTACATGCAGGAGGCAACCAATCGATGTGTCTCTCTCACATCGATGTTTCTCTCTCGCTCTCCCCCCATCTCACCCTCCCTCCCTTCCTCCCTTATACTCTCTCTAAAAATCATTAAAAAATATCCTTGGGTGAGGATTAAAAATAACAGCTTGAAAATATATAATGAAGAAGCACTGGCAGTTGGATGGTGATGGAGAGAAAAGCCAGGCAAAAGGGTATCACTGGGGTCCAGACAAGAGGCGCCGAGGGCCTGGAGAGGGTGCCAACAGTAAGGATGGGATAGGAGAAGTATGGGGGATTGAAGCGAAGGGACTGAGAAAGAATCTAGGGATCTTAATTCTGTCACAGAATTGGGGAGGGAAGAATAGGTTCAATGGCCCATGAGGTCTAAGTTTAGAAGATCTTAGTGTCTGGATTTGGGAGGGGTAAGAAAGAAGGAGAAAACGTGGATAAGTCTTAGTGTCCTGGCTAGGTGACTGGATGGATAGGTGTATAGTGCAATTTGCCAACAAAGAGATAAAGGCCCTGGCTGGTATTTCTCAGTGGTTAGAGCATCGGGACTTGCACCCCAGGGCCTTGGGTTCGATTCCTGGTCAAGGGAATGTACCTGGGTTGCAGGTTCAATCCCTGGCCCCAATCAGAGTGTGTGCAGGAGGCAACCAAACGACGTGTCTCTCTTACATAGATGTTTATCCCCGCGCCCCCCCCGCCAACCCCTGTCCCTTCCACTCTAAAAATCATGGAAAAAATATCCTTGGGTGAGGATTAACAACAACAACAAAAAAGGGATA